GACTTATTTGTCTTTTCTTTCACTCAACTTCCAAACTGTTGCAACACGAAACTCTCATAAGTATCCGAGAGTTTTCTTTTATTTCACTTCTAAACGTGCTTTGTTTTGCATTCTCTCAGCAACCGCTCTAATGTTGGATACCTGAACCACAATAATAATGCGTTGTTAAACAACATTCGCTGTTTTCATACGTTATACATAAATAGTAATTATAAGTTTGCACATTGGTTTGTTTATTACCATTTCACACCTTAATAACTCAATCGATCATCACGAAATTTTGTACATATATTGCCAGGGGTACAGAAAAGGACATAGGGTACTTTTTATCTAGAAAAAAATACTGTTCCCGAGGAATAGAAAAATTAGTTTTATGTGGGCGTCGATGAACTTTAACACTGGTAAAAGCTACAGTAATTAAAAATAACATCGCTGCCTTATTTTAGTAAATAGTGTACTGGCAAAAGGCGCCAGTTTCCGAAACAGTGCACAGAACATCCTGGTGCCGCATAGTTCAATAATATATCTATACGAATACAGTGACGTACTCGATCAAAGCCTTAGAGAATTCATTTGGCCTTTTACTTAGCAATTAGGTCACAAAAATGCTTAAAATATCTTTGCTGTCAATTTTTGCAGCACCTGTAAACCGTAATGTGATACTAATTGAAATGGACGTTCACTAATATTTGGAATTATCATAATTTTCTGTTCGCTATATTAAGGGAACGTACCTATACTACGTGACCCACTTTTTACAATTGTTACCCCCTCCCCTCTCGGTGACCCCCAGTACTATATGTCAACACTTCCCTTCCCATTTTGTTTTCACGTCATCATCATAAGGTCCTCAGTCCTAAGACTGGTTTGACACGCATCTCCACTCTTCCCTATCCTGAGCTAATATTCCCATTTCCCTAAAACTGGAATAACCCACATCCTTAACTATTTGCGAACAGTAATCTAATCTAAACCTACCTTTACACCTCCTAACTATCGTTTCTGCCTCTAATATGTCTCTGACTAGATCTTCATGCCTGAGAAGGTGTCCTACTAACCTATCTCGCCTATTTCTTATTGACTTCCATAGAGTCCTCTGTTCTCCTACTCTTTCTAATACCTCTTCATTTCTAGCCTTCTCTATCCACGGCACCCTCATCTTTCGCCTGTAACACCACATTTCGAATGTTTCTAACCTTTTATTTCCCGCTGCACCCGTACAACGCCGCGCTCCAAACATACAAGCCTTACAATCTTTTTGGAATTTCTAAATTAACCGTTCGCGAGCATAGAAATGACTTGTTTTTATTGAAGACTCCCCCGCTCCCTTTTAACCAAGCATGGTATTTTTAAAGACCCCCTCCCCCTCTGACGGGTCACGTAATATAAATACGTTCCCTAAAGTATTTAAACTTTTGTTATGCATTCATTGACGGTGTGGATGTATAAATATTCCCACTGAAGGTTGATTTTAGTGCATATGGGGTAGCGGCACTCCCTTGAAAAGGCAATGGCAGTATGATTTTCGACTTTTGAGTATTCAATCTTCAGCTGAGATGAGTACGTATATAGTTTATATACATTTGTATACATATGTATGTATAGGTACGTGGCTGTCGTCGCACTTCAAACGCTTCGGGCAATAAACCGTGCAATAGAAATTTAACGAGCGTGTAAAAGTTTGAATAAAAGTTTATAAAATAACGACTGCCCAGAGTTAATACATTGTTTCAAAAAGAGCAGTTTGAAATGTCGACAAACTACATTACCTTCTCCCCAGTTCGACCTAATGAAAAATTTAATTGCAATAGAACTTTTATGCGTATAAGTAATTCAAAACACTAAACGTAAATTCCAGACTACTGCAGCGGCTGTCTATAGAACTGATTAAAATTTAAAATGAAAAGTGATAACCGTTCGTCGCACATTCATTTTGTTTCCAGAAGAACAATAATACCGGCGACTCTATTGGGATGCGTCAAATGGGTGGAGCCTAAAAACATGGCGCCGATTAGGGAAAATTTATCGTAGTTCCTATAGTGTACCGCGCAATTTCCAAGTTTTTAAATTACGATAAAATGATAAGTATTGACACAATATGTGATTGGGCTGACACAAAGCCTCGGAAAGGAAATTTCGTTGAAGGTGAGAGTGTTTTTAATGCCAATCACATTATAAAATTCGGAAATAACAAATCCGGAAGCTAGCCTTCAAATTCCGTCAAGTTTACTGCCTACTTTTTACAAACTTCGGATTTAAAAAGTGATTCACGTTATATAATTGGTGAGGTGATTCTGGGTGATTTAAGCAATATCATATCAATGACTTGCACGTGCAAAGCCGATTTAAGAGAACGTTGCAAACACATTATTGCAACTTTGTTGTATTGCAGCAGGTAGGTTCTTAACCTCAAAATACTTATATCGTATCATTAGAATTGTGTTAAATCAATTACACAGGAATAAATAATTTCTCACTTTATAATTTTAGTATGATTCTAGTTTTAAATATTAAGGTTATGGCTGATGGTAAATACTTGCTGAAATATAATCATGTGCATTAAAATGACGTGAACAAATTTTTATTCCGGAATTCACTTCTTTGATACCTACTGCTTTCATCCAAGCTTCTATTAGTTTACTTTTTTCTCTAATTTTCCGGATATATTTTTTACATATATAAAACGGTTAGTTTTTATTGGAAAGTAGATCTATGTCTGAAGTGCTATTACAGCTCCATCATCAAAAAAATTTTTACTTTTTTAACGTGTTTTATTATTTTAATAAATAATTTTACAATTTGCGTGCACAGTGCCTATGTATAAATTTTTCCCTCATTCGAGTTATAAATTTTGCCACCAGATGGTGTATGACCATTTGACGGATCCCAATAGAACTGATTAAAATTTAAAATGAAAATCGATAACCGTTCGTTGCATATTCATTTAGTTTTGTCCAGAAGAACAATAATAACGGCGACTCTATAGTGACTGAATTAACTAACTCCTAATTATAATTACAACAAGTAACTTTTAAAAATCGGACGCGTGTTAAATTAACCGTGTCCCCCGCAAATTAACAACGGCGGTATTTTTAAAGAAAGCTCGCAGACAAAACGGCATCGTGCTTATTCGTCATTGTTTTCGGTTTCGCCGCAAATTATAGAACGAATCTGTTCATAATTGCTTGATGTACTTGGGAACATAATGGATTAGACGAAGCGGAAGAAATCCCTCATAACAAGAAGGGCTCATTTTCTCCGAACCCAAATCCACGTCTTGGGACCGTAATCTATATTTCAACGAGCTTACAATGCTCGCGATTCAGAAGCTTTTATGCTGAAGTAAACAGACTTCTGGCGAAGCTTATTACATACGTACATAAAGTAGGTAGGTGGGTGGGTGTATATACCTGCTCGTACCTGTATACCTTGCCGATTCATTTTATCAAATTAAAATTTGTGCAAAAGAGGAACCAAAATTACCGAGGTATATAGGTAGGCAGCACCGAAGCTGCTCCAGATTATAATGAGATAAAACCAACCCAGTCTTTCACTCGATCAAACTAAAAGCAGTTTATTCAATGGAGTACAAAAAAGTAGAGGATAAAAAGACTTCTAATTTAATAGTTTTAGGAATTTCCGATAAAAGCCTTAAGGAAGTACAAACGTACATAATACGAGTATATCTATTAACATAGAGATTTTAAATATTGGAGTTTTTCTAGACTAGAAATTATTGAGATATAGTTTTTCTATCTTTATGTTATAATTTGTTCAGTTCAAAAGCAAATAATTTTTCTACATGCTTCCTCATTTGCCTTTGTCAACCGTTTTAATTGGATAAAAGACACTGATGCCAAAATAGTTTGCTTAGCGTGAAAGATCAGAACCAAAACAGGGTTGCAAATAATTTTATTCATGTAAAATCAACATCAAAATATTTACCACCCCATTTTGTTTCTGATCTTTTACACATAGTTATAGGAGAAAGGAATGAAATCCATAGTTTCTTTAGCTTTCGGTTCAAGCAATAATTGAAGTTTTTCGAATCGTCTTCTAAAAAGTTTGGATTATACGCATTTATTAGCACACCACAATATCTTGTAGTTTTCAGTTTTACACAGCTAGCGTATATCAATTCGATATTATTTTGCAGGTTGTTTTGTCGTAATTCAAAAAATTTCGTAGTTAAGTGGTGATTTGGCAGGTGCTGATATCAATTTGAAACTTCAAAATTCCATGGACGATGACATCGAACCCGGAAAATAATATCGATCCAATATTTTAGATTATCTATTTCCAAGGAATTTAGAATATTTTGGTCTCTCTTCAGTTAAAAAAAATAGAAGGCATTTATGGAATGTCTGTTTGACCCTTTTTTAAGCTTCTAATACCTTCAATGGCCAATGTGAGCAACATTTATTCATCATTTTACATAATGTTTGATCGGTGATACTAGCAAAACATTTAACGGCAAAAATATATTTTGCATCTTACAAATAGAAAATAGGTTTGGAAAAGTATTTTAAATAAAATACAAAATGCTTGTTTAAAAAAAGTATTTAAATTGCATTTTAGATGCAAGAATTTAGTAATAACAATTGTTGCATCTNATTCCGACCTACTGAAGGTGAATTTTTCTACGATCAGCTGGCAATCGTAATTAATTTGCGATTGTGCAGGGCCGGCATCGAAACTGTTATAATTTTATAATTTTTTATTTTGTTTCAAAAGTCAAAAGTGTTATAACATTTTATGTTCCAAATGTCCGTAGGAATCTGTGGTATAAATATTAATTATTATAACTGGGACACCCTATATGTACACCATCAATAACGGTACCCAATATCCAAATTTGAAAGGACTCGGCTAGTAGCTAGTGCGTTTGGTAGATGTTTATTTCGGCTCCCGATTTTAAATATCGTTTTGTACGGCTGAAATGCAACAGACGGTAAATCCTAGAGGTCCATAAACACTGTTGTTTTTTCCGTCTGTTTCAGCTTCGACGTGAGAGGTCGCGCGTTCAGAGAGGCGCTACATTGGTCCGATCCAATGATGTTCGGCCCGAGAGCTTTCTTCCTGACGGAGGCTAAGCCGGCAGCCTTAACTTTGGACGGTGTGACGCTCGATGACGAGGGTCTCTACCGTTGTCGGGTGGATTTTCGGACGACGCCGACGCGCAATTTCGCTATCAATCTCACAGTTATTGGTAAGTACGATATGACAAATACGACTAATGTGTAATGTGTGCATGTACAGGGTTTGTCCGGAAAGTAATAGGACTGAGTCGATTTAAAAAAAATTATTGAGCCAATCGTTACAATTATTTTCTTCTTCTGCGTCGATGATGAACAAATTCATGGTGGACGATGCCTTTCACGTCAAAAAAGACAATGAGCATCGTTTTCACTTTGGATTGGCTCATTCTTCCCTTTTTTGGGCGAGGAGACGCCGGCGTGTGTCACTCGGAAGATCGCCTCTTTGTCTCGGGATCATACTCAAAGATCCATGACTCGTCACCTGTGATTACGTTATTCAAAAATTGGGGGTCACTTTCACACATGTTTAAATATTCTTGCCACACTTCCACTCGCCGCAATTTCTGGTCGTCAGTGAGCACTTTTGGGACAATCTTCGCGCACACCTTGCGCATGTTCAAATGCTCCGTCACAATGTCATGAACCACAGATTTTGGTAAATTTAATATCTGGGCAATTAAACGAATACTTAGTCGACGGTCTGAGTTCAAAACTTCGCGCACACGAGTCACATTATCGGTGTTTGTCGAAGTCGAAGGTCTTCCAGCACGGTCTTCATGGGCGACCTCTGAAAAGGCCTGGTGCCACCGAAACACACCACTTCTTGCTAAAGCAACATCTGGGTAAGCCTGCTTGATCATATCAAACGTCTCTGTCGCAGATTTACCGAGTTTCACCCAGTATTTAATCGCGTACCTCTGCTCTAACCAACGCTGCATTTTCGGCTTGCACCACTCACAGAAACACGTCGCGCGAAAAAGCCTGTTCTGACTCTCCAGATTCTTTGATCCACTTTTTGAACAGACCTCGTATATTGGGCTAATTTCACTCATATGTACCTATAGCTCGTATTATCTGCAACTATGCAAGAACGCTTTAAGGTAGATCTTTATGATTAAATCTTTTAAGATCAATTGTGTGCAATCTTTAGTTAAAACAATTGCCAATTAAAATAATTCGAAGTGGTCTGTATTCTGTCGAAACTGCCAGACGCGGATCGCGATTTCGATCTTTTTGGATCTCATCAGCGCGTCCTACAGACCACTTCGAATTATTTTATTCGATTAAGCTAACGTGCCTATCACGTTGAGGTTGGCTACGCCGGGATTCGTTTTCAGCAAGTAGATATCCACACAAGTGGACCTTGTTGGAGCATACGTAATCCTAAAATGTAGCATCGTGCTACAGATGGCGTTTACTGCGCCATTTGTAGTATTTTCTAAAATTTCCGATTACCTATAAAAACTATTACACATCCTTAATATGTCTTTTCAACTTATCATTGTATAAAACAAACCGCCCTGTATACGATTTCAAACTTTTGTCGTTCCATTTAAAGGAACGACACGTCCGTCCATGGAGTCTATCCAGAATCGACGCGGAATGATAAATTTTGATTCGGCAAAACGATTTAGTCTTTTTTTTTTACTCGCACGTTGACAAATGCGAATGTTTAAAAAGGGGTTCCGATTTTCGGCCCACTGCTCACCATGGTGAAACATATTTTTCATGGTTATGGACTACGATTTATCACACTTAGTGGGCACCGTTTTACGCAGGCCGTCATCCACTGAAAGCAGCCTTCTATCGTAATTGTGAATGACAGCGAACCCGAGAAATCTTATCGGGACCGCCGACTCGTTTCCCCTCATACTACACGACCGCGAATTCATCTCATTTATTTTCTGATTTTCATAATGCATCATCACTTCACTTTACTGCCCTGCGTTCCTATGTACAGAAATGATTCTCTTGTAGGTATTTATAGGTAGGTGTAGGTTTATCATCACCATAAGTCCTAAAATTGGTTGGACACGCACCTCCACTCCTTCCTATCCTGAGTTAATGTTCGCATTTCCCTAAAACTAGAACAACCCACATCCTTAACTATCTGTGAACAGTAATCTAATCTAGGTCTACCTCTACCCCTCCCAACTCCCGTTTCTGCCTCTAATGTGTTTCTAACTAGACTTTCATGCCTGGTGTGAAGGTGTCCTACCAACTTATCTCGCCTAATTCTTATAGAGTCCCCTGTTCTCCTACTCTTTCTAAAACCTGTTCATTTCTAACCTTCTCTATGCACGGTATCCTTATCATTCACTACATTTCGAATGCTTCTAACCTTTCCTTTTCCGCTGCGTCCACTGTCCATGTTTCGCACCCGTACAGCGCTCCAAACATACACCTTTAACAATCTTTCCGAATTTCTAAATTAACATTATTCGTTCGCGAGCATAGAAGTGATTTCTTTTTATTGAAGACGACTCGCCCCAGCGCTAGTCTCTGTTTTGTTTATTTGACTTCCTATATACCTAAAATCAGCCACTTCTTCTAATTTTTCGTCTCCTATCTTTATATTTGCTCTTTCCTTACTTTTTCTTCCCTTGCATACTAATACTTTTGTTTTACTTTTGTTTATTTTCATACAGTACCTACTGTCTGTAACGATAATATTTGTGCAGCTATCTCCTCTGAAGATAAAACTTTCTGGAATTAGCTGACTATTAAAATGTCTAATTAAAAATGGAACTGTGTTTTAGATAGGTACCTTTCACAACCATCAGGATAAAATTTGTAGTTAACAATTACCCATCTTTTGACGTATTGTCTAAAAAATTTCAATGACTCTGTAATTTTTATATCCAAATTTTACGCGGATAAAGAAGTATTGTACTGTTGTAGATGAAGTATCTGTAGTTGTTTCTGTCTTATGACTTTATGATAGAGGAGATTCAACAACAGGTAAATGATTTACAGTTGAATGATACCGTCACGAGTCTGATATCGAAAGTAAAATGAACCTTTATTACATTTTCATCCTGAACAAAATTAGCAAGGCAGCTTAATTTATTATCAAATATTTTTATTTTCTAACGTGATTAAAGTGTTACAAAGTGGAAACAATTATTCATTTGAGCAGACTAATCAATGAACACTTGGAGAAATGCCTTCTATAGTCCCCGTGTCTCATCGAAATGGGAAACAAAAAAAGGCAACGGCAGAAATCGGGCAAACGAGTTGGGGGAAAGATATAGGGAGAGGGAGAGAGAGAGAGAGACAAGGAGATAGACCAATGAAGCAGCGCGGGACAAAATAGATACATATTTCGATTTTGAAGTTTTACAAAGTTTGTATTCGCTCCGGCGAAGCGTTAACATTAAATTAACTCGCAAAGTGAAAGAAAGATACTTTCGTCCCGTCTTAATGACGTCAACTAAACAAAACTTAACGTAGATACGCGGACGGAAAATTTAATTAACACAAACTGTGTTTCAACTTCAAATAACGGCCCCCGGTTTTTTACACCCCGCTCCTTCTACTCCTACTCCTCCTCCTCCTTCTTCTTCTTCTGCTCGGCGTAACATAACGCTAACGAAAAATCTCGACAAAGTAAATTTAAGTGTGTACTAAGCATCTGTTGGATCAAATTTGTTTTCCATAACGGGCCGAAGTTGTCTGCGAAATTATATTCCCTCGAGTGGTAAGGGACGGCGATGAAAATGGCAATTTTTCCACTGGTAAAGGACTGAGAGAGAACAAATTCAATTTTAATTTGAGCGCACGAAATAACTTACTTAATTGATAACGTATTTTGTGGAAGCAATGATAAAAAAAAGTCTAATTGGAAGCACAAGCGTTCCTCTGATGTCTTGCAGGTTATAAATATTTTTTTTTTTAATTTTACTACCACCTCTTCGTATTAACGCTGGGCTTAAGAACCAACCAAATACGAAAGCTAATTTACCATTCCCATCGTACTTGTCCGATTTATTTTTATTCAACATATTGCAGTACAGTCCAGACTAATTGTTTATTGGGATCCGTCAAATGGGAGGAGCCTAAAAACATGGCGCCAATTAGGGAAAATTTATCGTAGTTCCTATAGTGTACCGTGCAATTTCCAAGTTTTTAAATTACGATAAAATGATAAGTATTGACACAATATGTGATTGGGCTGACACAAAGCCTCGGAAAGGAAATTTCGTTGAAGGTGAGCGTGTTTTTNTTTATATCAAAATATTTACAACCCCATTTTGTTTCTGATCTTTTACACGTTGTAATAAGAGAAAGAAATGGAATCCATAGTTTCTTTAGCTTTGGTTTCATCTAATAAGCGAAGTATTTTGAATGGTTTTCTAAGAGTTGGATGGATTATATGCATTAACACACTACAATATCTTGTAGTTTTCAGTTTTACACAGCTTTCGCTTATCAACTCGATATTGTTTTGAGGGCTGCTTTGTCGTAATTCATAGAATTTCGTAATTTCTTGCTAAAGCTTTAATAAGTGGTGATTTGGCAGGTGCTGATATCAATTTGGAACTTCTAAATTCCATGGACTATAACATTGAACCCGGAAAACAATATCGATTCAATATTTTAGATTATCCGTTTCCAAGGAGTTTAGAATTTTTTGGGCTCTCTTCAGATAAAGAATTAGAAGGCATTCATGGGATGTCTTTTTGCCCCCTTAGCTTCTAATATCTTCAATAGCCAATGTGAGCAACTTTCATTCATCATTTTATATAATGTTTGATCGGTAATACTAGCAAAACTTTTAATGGCAAAAATGTAGTTTGCATTTTACAAATAGAAAATATGTTTGGAAAAGAATTTTAAATAAAATACAAAATGCTTTTCTTAAAAAAGTATTTAAATGCAAGATAAAAATAGATATATTTTATTTTGTATTTGCATTTTAAATGCAACTATTTCAAATAAATCGCATCTCTGTCTACATACAATTGTCAGACGAGTATACAACAACGGTAAAAGAACAAAGAACTAGTCTAGGCTGGCTGTAAACAATCACACTTAATCTAAACTAACAAATAAACGATACATTAGTAAGTACAAAAATACAACAAAAGTACAGCTAAGTAGCAGCTGATTGAATACGACGTTGCAATGTCGCATTCCCCTGCGTGATCCTACCAGGGTCGGACTGGCC